CTTTCCCTGATCCTTCTTCCTCTTTCTCTAGTGAACACATGTGCAATAATAATAAAGCAAAATCTATCCTTACACATTCCTAAATGCATAATTAATCAAAAAACTTATCTGTTTCAGGCTGTAACTAAAATCATATTGATCTCTGTATAACCCAGGGACCTCTGTGCTGAGGACCAGTCCTAAATTTCTAACTTTGATTTTCTATGGTCATCTTCATGAAATCCTATAGTTATCTTGAAACTCAGTAAGTACAACATTCAAATTATCTTCATAGTAAATAAACTTTTTCTTAAACATTTCTACTAATGAAACTGTCATTTTCCAAATCACCTCAGTCAATAATACATGCAATTCCTGACTCTCCATGTTCCTTCAGTTCACCTTGCTTGTATTTCCTGCTAAACCAGCCTTGGTAAAAACTGGCATTACATTTTATCTGATCTTCTGTCCTGAGTGTTTGCTTCCACATTCTCTTCCTGTTAATTTGCTACATACATGTAGAGGCCCCAAATCAATTGCCCCAGCCCTGCTTCCTCTATCTTCAACCTTCCCACAACACTGGCAACTCTCATCAACATTTAACACTGCGGCTCAGATTATTTCATTTAAGAAAAAGAAAACCAGAGAAGTACTTTTCCTTTCAGTTACAGCATTTTTTCTCTTGCTAACCCCATGGCCATCTCCTATGGAACATCTACACTTGCTACACTTGTTCCTCACCACCCACTCACTCAGTAATCCTCTAAAAAATGGCAGCTACTCCCATTACCATATTTAACTTGCCCATGCTAAAAATCACTGATGTCCTAAATTGTTGTTTAAGTATATGAATACTTCTCAGCACTTGTCATACCTGACTTCTTAAAGCACTGCTGCCACTGACCACCCTTCCTCTTCTTAGATATTATCCTTGGATTTCCATGAATTCTCATTCCTTGCTGTTGTCTGTGCCTTTTTGGCTTCATTTTCTCAGTTCCTATACAAACTCCCTTTTTATGTCCATTTACTTCAATGCTAGCATTCTTCAAATCATTTTACTCCAGATTTCTTACCTCACTTTACACAATCTCCCTATAACATCTTTCTTAACTACTGGGTTGGCTTTAGTCATTCATTCCTCTTTTTCACTGATTCTTGGGAAATAAGCAAGAAAGGCTTTAGAACCTGTATTAAGTCAGACCTGCAGATTTTGGTATGGTTCCTTCCATTTTCCTTTACCTCTCACTACTACTGAGACAGAAGAAATGATTAAGAAGCAATATTCTACATAGTCAGGATTCCAAAAGCTTTATTTTTCTCGTTAACTGTCTCTTATGGACTGCAGACTGCACCCTATGGAAGCTGCCCACGTACATTTTATTTTTTTTTTTGGAGAGGTTTTTGCTATAGGGCGTGTGTGCTCGCCAGAGAGAGAGAGAGAGAGAGATAGAAAGCGAGAAATCACCCCCAAGGGGGGATGGCCATGCCGCAATCCCTTCTCCTCCATTCTCCTCTCGGGATCTTGGGCACACACGCACACGAGCCAGGAGTGAGCTTATGCCACCGGGTCTGCCATGCAAACCGCGGTCGACTACGTGGGAGTCCAGCAACATAGCCATTACGGTAACTGCTGGTCCCGCCCACTGTACACTTTTAATTTCTACTTGAATGCACAAGCACTACAAATTTAAACACTTCCAAAACTAAATTTATCTACCTATTATATCTGTTCTTCTCAACAAATGATATTATCATTGCCTAATTACCCAGGGAAGAAATCACTACACTATTCCCATTCTAAGACCCATAATTCAAAAAGTTATGTTGTTAAGTCTTTCCACTAAACTTAAATCTTTTCACTTCCCACTGTATTACCCTAGTTCAGCTATTATTACTTCTCTTTTTAAATTCTTCAGAAGTATTTAATTGACCTCTTATCTCCCTTCATATTCCTTACTTCTAACTTCTATTCTAGTCACAGAGTTCTTTAATGTTCTTGAAAGTATTACAGAATGCATGTGCCTTTCTCTGGCTAACTCTGACTTACATCTCCAAAGCAGACTGGGTGGAACCATCCTGTATTTATTGGCTTTTCAGAAAAGTCATAACAATTTTTTCTGTTTTTATGCAAAAATGCATCATGACTTTTCTGATGAGACAGTAACACTGGTGATATTCACCGCAGCTTGTCTGCTCATTGGTACCTTTACAGAAAGAGTTCTGTAACAAGACTTTTAGTCTATTTGTGCCTCCCACACCTGGTCACTGGCTCTTTTAGAGAATCTTTGAGCTATACAATATACTTTAAAAAGAAAAAAGAAAAAAAAAAAACTATAAAATGTCCTACACATCTGGGGGTAGCCCCATAACCTAGTGGCCAAAGGATCTCACATGGCTGATTGCAACTCAAATCCTGGTCCTGGAGACTTGAGAAACACATCTGGCACCTGTATGTGTATGTGTGTTCCCAAAACCTTAACAGAATGGAAAAATGGAGAAGGGACTATGGCATAACAATGTCCAACTGAAGGGTGCTTTCTCCCTTTCTGTTTCTCTGCCATTCTCTGAAAAACTCATGTGCCCTCTGGCAATTAAAAAAATATAGTTCTGTATCTGAAAGTCCACAAAAAGAGGCAGTAATTTGCTCCAGTTCATCTATATTCCCTCAATCACATTCTCTTCCATTGGTATTTATTTAAAACAGGAGGGAGCAGGATGGCAACAGTAAAACAGGATGCTCTTTGAAACCGACCCCTACAGCAGGGCTTCAAGTTTGTCTCCAGAGACGTCCCTGAGTATAGCAGGCCATGATCCAGGGTCAGCTGATTTGGGGATGGATTATGGCATCAAGCCCTTGTTAAGGGTGCGCTCTCTTTTTCTCTCTCTTGCTCTCTCTCTCTCATGTACACACACACACACACACACACACACACACACACACGGAATAAATGAATGAAAAAATAAATAAAAAGCTACAAAGGATATCCCAAAAAACGCCACCTGATAAAGTAAGTATTTTGAGGAAATAAATGCCTTTCCCTCTATGATAGTAGAATAAAGTGTCACCTATTCCCCAAATATAAAACCACACATTATCTTTCCTCTCATAGACAATCAAAGGAGTCAAGGAACAAACAAAATCTCCATCTTTTAATCCCAATAAATTTAGAACTATTTTTTTAAATGTTTAACTACTCTTGATTATGAAAATAGTAAGAAAAAATTAATCATAGTACCTCTGGGTGGCAAATCCATATCTCCTGATGTTAGTCCTATCAAGTTAGGCCTTTGTGCATGCACTCTGTGTCTATACATAGGTCTGGAAGTGTTTGTTATGCTTGGAGCTTCAGGATTGTAGCCATCTGTGTCATATGTATCTGGTAATACAAAAACTGTAATTAAAAATTTACAATTATAATAGTCCACTTGGAAATTTTTAAATACTGGTAACAGAAAAAGCAAACTATGTAACATATTACTATATTTTATATGCATTAAAAATAGTTTTGTAAAAATATAAAAAATGATTGCTTAGTTATAAAAGAAAATATAACTAATAAAAATCATAACTCAAGGCTTCTTTGATGTATATTCAACATGCCTATATTATATTCTGTATCATTTTAGTGACAAAAATAGTCCTGATGGAGAAATCTGCTCTCTAGACATTTTAAAATCCCTAATCTAAAACTATACTCTAAAACTACATTACACTATGAATAGAGAGGACCAAAACTGCACCTGCGGTAAAAAGAGAGGGTGGAGCAGGAGGCGGCTGGTGATGAATGCCAGTTGTTACTACAGTAGGAACAGAACTGGTTGCAGAATTTGGGGGTGCATCCATGCCAGATGGTTGCAAAGGAGGAAGTGGTGGAGGTGGTCCTGTCAAAACCAAAGAATAAGAAATATCATCTGAAAGCAAACAAATAAAATAAGTTATTGCAAATCCAAACACAATATTCTTATTTATCAAACTATATTATCTACAAACACAAAGTTGTTACAACTAAATTCGTTTTCAAGGATAAAATATATTTTTAATTTATAGCTTAAAAGCTTACAATCCAAAACAGGTCTATCTTAATTTATTAAAGACTACAGGCAGCAGGGGGCTTATCAGTGCTGGACATAATTCACAAAGCCACTTCAAACAATAGTAACATGTTAAGCAAAGGTGACAAGTGGAGGGACATTTCAAATACGAGTACACAGCTCTTAGTTCATATAAGGCATCACTAGAATTACATCAGATACTTTTAACGAAAGCAAGCATGAAACCAATAACTTTATAAAAAGTCTATGAAAGGATAAGATAATAAATAAAGACTAACAGACATATTTCCTAACCTGTTACAGGTGGAAGACTAGGTGGTAATGGACCAGGAGGTGGCACTGGCGGCCTAAGATTCACAGGTGGGGGAGTAAGAATTGGTGGAGGTGGGGGAAGTCCAGGAGGAGGTGGTCCTTCAACAACAGGAGGCTGTGCTGGAAAAGGCAGCATCCCAGGAAGATTTACATCTTCTACAACTACTGGATCACTTCCATGATCAAAAGGGCACATGTCTCCTCTCATACAAAATCCCTTTTCTGGAAGGAAGGAAGGATTAGAAAAAAAATTTGAAAGCATTAGAAATATAAATTTTCTCCAAGTTAACAAAAGTTAAGACATTTTAAAATTAAGTATTTTTTATATTAGGCAAAAGGTTAATTAAACATCTCACAAAAGCTACCTGTTCATTTCTAGTAATACAAATACTTATGAACTGATAATATACACACTAAAGAATTGTGACCAAATTAAAATAAGTATACCTAGCTAGCAAGGTGATATCAAACTTATTTATAATTTTTGTCCCAGGAAACATTACACTTCATTTAAATCTCTCACTTAAAACTAAAAAAATGGGCCAGCCAGTAGTGTTGTTAAGGTAGCTGGATTCCACATGGTCAACTATACTGTGTGAGTCTAAAAGCACGCTGGGTATGTGGGCACCCACACACATTTACCCCAAATCTCTAAAGCAGAAATGGAGAAGGAGGGATTGAAGTGCGATCATTCCCTATGAAGGGTGCTTTCTCATTTTCTCCCTCTCTCTCTCTCTCTCTCTCTCTCTCTCCAGCAAGCATGTGCACCCACTGAAAAAAAATTTAAGAGAGGTTTTTGCTATAGGGTGCATGGGCTTCGCTAGAGAGAGAGACGAAAAGCGAGAAATTACCCCCCAGGAAGGATGACCATACTGCAATCTCTTCTCCATTCTCCTCTCAGAGTTTTGGGCAAATATCCACACATGTCTGGCATGAGTTTTAAGCCTCCAGGTCTGGGACTCAAACCACAGTCGACCATGTGAGAGTCCAGTGACATAACCATTACGACATCTGCTGGTCCTATTTTTAAAAAGGAAAAAAACACTAAAAAATATTAGAACTATGACTTGAAAAAACTATTTACAAAACTTCTATGGTAAATACTTAAAAGCCCTCAATTCTACTCAAAATTCTTCCATAAGCAATATTTACATTTCTAGGATATACTTACATTCCAATAATCACTCATTCTAAAGAAGTGAGTTTTGTCAAAAATTTTCAGTAGCAGATTTCATAAAAAAAATATATATATAACTCAGTAGATATTCATTCTTGTAAACTTCAAAAATATATGAAGACTGGGACCAGCAGTTGGCATAATGGCTATGTCGTTGGACTCCAATGTAGTTAACCATGGTTTGAATCCCAGGCTCGGTGGCTTAAATTCACGGCAGGTGTGTGTGCATGCATGTCCAAGATCTCGAGAGGAGAATGGAGGAGAAAGGACTGTGGCGTGGCTATCCTCCCTAGGGGGTGATTTCTCGCTTTCACTCTCTCTCTCTCTGTGTCTTTCTGGTGAGCGCACACACCCTATAGCTAAAACCTCTCCAAAAAAAAAAAAAAGGAGAATTTACATGCAAACTATACTCAATAACCAGTGGTGACTGGGCTAGCGGATGGCGTAATGACTATGTTGCTGGACTCCCATGTAGTCGACAGCGGTTCGAGTCCCAGACCCGGTGACTTAAACTCACGTGGGGTCTGCATGTGTGCCCCAAGATCCTGAAAGGAGAATAGAGGAGAAGGGATTACAGTGTGGCCATGCCCGGTGGGGAGGTGATTGCTCGCTTTCTATTTCTGTCTCTGTCTTTCTGGCGAGCGCACACACCCTATAGCAAAAACCTCTCCAAAAAAAAAAAAAAAAAAATCAAAGGTGACTGGTAAAGATTTCAAAAAACCGAAGAATTCATGAAGTAATTAGGACTAATTTTCCACCAATTCTAATATCAGAAACCTTTGATTGTACAACCTAAACTTACAGAATTTAGACATCCAGAAATGTAACTCAATACTTCAAGAAAACAAGTGGAAGACTTACCATCATAGTCTCTACACCGTTTCTTTGGCATTGGCGGTCTTACATAAGAGTTATGGTCCACCTGGTCTTCATGAAATTCAGACCAACTTTCAGTAGTGTTATTACCATGATGAGTAGGAGCAATTACTGTAATAGTGCTGCTTAAAGTAGGTACAGGATAGTGGCCAGATGAAATATTAGGTACCGAAGAGACTGGAGTATAATTATTTTCTAATGGATCTGTTCTATCCAGGTCGTATTTGGGTTTTACCAGGTCCCTTTCTGAAACAAAATATAAATGATTTATAAAACTATACACAAAATAAAACTATGCCTCAAATCTAAAAAACAGTGATATTTTTGCTAAACATAAAAAACTAATATTGTTGCTAAACATAAACAGCTTAAATTTTAAACAAACATCATTTCCTTAATAAAAAAAAAAAAAGAACTACTCAATTAAGATACAATGTCCCAAGATACACAATCTTCTTTCAATATGACCTAAACTACAAAACCACATGTAAGGTTGCTGTACTTGAGTTTTTCCTTGAAAAAACTTCTTAAAACGTTCTGGAGTTTGTTTACAGAAATCAGTTTTTTTATTTTCTTCACTACAATCTTAGTATGCATAATTACTGCAAACAAAATAAAACATGCAATAAAAGTAGTTATTTTTCTTATGATGAATATTCTGTAATCATCCATCTAAAAATCATATTATGGGGACCAGCAGTTAGCGTAATGGCTATGTCGCTGGACTCCCATGCAGCCGACCGCAGTTTGAGTCTCAGACCCGGTGGCTTAAAACTCACGCCGGGCACGTGTGCGTGCGTGCCCAAGATCCCGGGAGGAGAATGGAGGAGAAAGGACTGCGGAGTGGCCATTCCCCGAGGGGGTGATTTCTCGCTTTCTGTCTGTCTGTCTCTGTCTGTCTGGCGAGCGCACGTGCCCTATAGCAAAAACCTCTCCAAAAATAAAAAAAATCCTACTATGGATTTTCATATTAACACTTATTAAAATAAGAATGATGGCAAAGAAGAAAAAAAAAAGGTGTCCTATTAAATGTAAACAAAAATACCCCCAAGGAAATAAAAACATAAAGGACATAGTTAAGTGAAGCAATGTATAAAAGAAACCTAGTACAACTAGATCATACAAGGAGAAAACACTGTATGAAAAGAGTTACAAAATACAGGCCATATTTAAAGGCTGTACGTAGTACTAAGAATATCAGAAATCGAAGTTTGACTTTATTCAAATGTATTTTCACTGTTTTACAGTAATCTGTTCCTTTTAATATTACATATTAGAAGAAAAATCCTGTATGTAGGAAATGACATTCACTTGAAAAACAACTGTAATAAAAAATTGTAACCTTTTTTATTTTTGGAGAGGCTTTCACTACAGGACGCATGCGCTCGCCAGACAGAGAGAGAGAGAGAGAGAGACATAGAGACAGAAAGCGAGAAATCACCCCCCAGGGGGGATGGTCACACCGCAATCCCTTCTCCTCCATTCTCCTCCCGGGATCTTGGGCGCACACGAACACGCGCTCGGCGTGAGTTTTAAGCCACTGGGTCCGGGACGCGAACCATGGTCGACTACGTGGGAATCCAGCAACATAGCCATTATGCTAACTGCTGGTTCCCGACCATTTTTTGTAGTTAAATGGTCTACTGAACATATTTAAAGTGTACAATTTAATCAGTTTTGATCTATGTAATGTACCTGTAAAAACCAAAACTACAATCAAAATAATGAACATATTCATCACCCACAAAAGTGTCTCATGCCCCTCTGTAACCTGTAATTCATTTTTCCTTTACTCTCAAGGCAAACATTGATTTGCTTTCTATAATCATAGATCAGTTTCCATTCGCTAAAACATTATATACATATAGGTACTTTTGTCTGGCTTCTTTCATGCAGCATGATTATTTTGAGATTCATCCACTCTGTTGCTATAAGCATTTCTTTCCTTTTTATTCATGTTATGTATGAATATACCAAATGTGTTTTACACATTCACCTACTGATGGACATTATGGTTGGTTCTAGTTTTGAAATATTACAAATCTGTCGTAAACCTTTGTGCACAAGTCTTTTTGGACATATAGTTTCATTTCTTTTAGAGGTAAACACCAGGAGTAGAATGGCCAAGGTGTAGGTTTTAGCAAGGTGTAGGTTTGACATTTTAAGATAGCCACTATCTTTTCCAAAGAGTTACCAATTTATCTGCATTCCCACCAACACTGAATATAGTCAGTCTTTCTTATTTTAACCATCTAGTTAAATGTGTAGTGTTAATTACTAGGTCCATGGGAAAGTCATGACGTTTTTCTATGCAAAAATGTATCATGACTTTCTTGAAGAACCCAAGATCTGTAACTGTAATTTGCAAAAAAATGAAGTATTTCAAAGAGAATTATAAGTACCATTCACTTGGGCCACAGAGTATTTCATAAGGGAAAAAAATAAAGACAATGTTGACAAATAGTAAACAACAAAAAACAACTTAAAAAACTGGAGTTTTTTCACTATAAAAGAATATTAACCAAAATATACATGAATTATTTACCCCTGCTTCGTGTTCTGCTTCTGCTTCTAGTCCTGCTTCTATCTCTATCTCTGTCACGAAGCCTCTCTTTACTCCAACTTCGACTTCGACTCCTGCTATAACTGCGACTCCTCCCTCGTCTTCTATTGTACCGATCTCTGTATGAATCTCTTCGAGGAGGGTTTCGGTCATAATCTCTTTTGCGAGAACGATCATCCTTCTTCCTTTCATCACGACTTCTAAAAAATATATGATCACTTTTATGTAAGTAAGTTTTAAGTGGATATAGGAAAAAGCTTTAGTTACATACAAAATTATATTTAATTATCCTAACAATTTTTTATCCCACTATCTAACTAGAAATGCAGGAAATTCAAAAAAATGAAAAAGCTGATTGTCAGCAAAGGAAAAATTCTCTACTGAAGTCTTAAATCAGCATCTATACAATTAGGCATCTGTATATAAAGGCATCTATATACATGTCTTAAAGGAAATTACAGTATCATAGTAGCTTCTCACTTACAGCACATATTAAGAATATTGTACTCAGAATCACTTGAAGTCTTAATGAGAAAAATAATTTAAAGGAAAACTTCAGGCAAGAACAGAGTTTCCCTTTAAGAGTCCACTGGAATTTGAAGTTAGGAAAAAAAATGATATTGATAATATTAACCAATATAAGTCAGTGCTGTTCTAAATATCAATTTCAAGACCTACAAATCCTAACTAGATTTTCTGGTTAGAGAAGGACCTACTTTTCCTAGACAAGTAAAAGAGCAGACACTGTATGCCTCTATGAAAAAGATAACCAGGACCAGCAGATGGCATAACAGTTACATCACTGGACTCCGACATGGCTGACCGCAATTGGAATCCTGGACCCTGTGCCTTGAAACTCTCGCTCGGCCTGTGTGCGTGCGTGCCCAAAGTTCCAAGAGGAAAATGGAGGAGAAGGAATTGCAGCATGGTCATTCCCTCTAGGGGTGATTTCTTGCTTTCTGTCTGTCTCTCTCTGGTGAGTGCCCTATACCAGAACCTCTTTTTTTTTTTTTGGAGGGGTTTTTGCTATAGGGTGCATGCGCTCGCCAGACAGAGAGAGAGAGACAGAGAGACAGAAAGCGAGAAATCACCCACTAGGGGGGATGGCCACACCACAATCCCTTCTCCTCCATTCCCAGGATCAGGGGCCGGCCCGCACACGTGCCTGGCGTGAGTTTAAGCCACCAGGTCCCTGACATGAACTGCAGCCTACTACGTGGGAGTCCAGCGACATAGACATTACGCTAATTGCTGGTCCCCCAGAACCTCCCTTTAAAAAATAAAAAAAGATAAAGTCTAAATACTAAACATCGTTCAATGAACCACTCACCTATTTTCTCTGTATCGAGAGCTTGACTGGGGAGGACTATGATTTAGCCTTCTAGAAAACTTCTTCTCTCGCTCTTCCTCCTTTGTTACCTAAAATAAGGAAGGAAAAAAAAGTATACGATTTTAGCAACAGTTATTCCTCATGATTTCAGGGGTTTAATACTAAAATTAATTTATTAGGTCCTTGGGAAAGTCATGACATTTTTTTTCTACACTTTTTTATGCAAAAATGCGTCCTGACTTTCCCGATGACCCAATATATTCTATAGGAGAAAATTGTCACCTAGAAATATTTTTGGTTTTTTTTTTTATGCTGTCACCTTAACATAATTATCTCACAACTATTTTCAGATTAATTTCACATTTTACATAAAGTCCCTTTCATGATTATTTTTTCAACAGAGAACTCTACAATTTTTTGTCAGTTAAATGTTTATTCTCTTTGCACCTCACATCTAACCTCAACTATCCATTCTCTGCCATCTACTCCTCTCCCTTACAGTCTCTGGTATTTATACTATCCTCTCTTCTAACATATCTTGTAGATCTTTTCATTTCTGCCATAAAGTACAGACATGTGGTACATATTGAGTAGGGATACATACAGTGTGTATCCTTCAAAGTCTGGCTCACTTCACTCAACATTAAGCCCACCTATATTCATCTATTTTATAATATTCCACAGTAGATATGTGCCACAGTTTTTCAACTCAGTCATCTGTTTATGGACACTTAGTTTGAATCCATGTTTTAGCAATTATGAATAATGCTGCAATAAACACTGATGTGTAAGTGTCTTTCCTACTAAGTGTTTTCCTATCCTTTGGGTAAATACCAAGGAATGGGAATAATGGGTCATATGGCAGCTCTACTGGGCTGATAGAAAAGTCATGACATATTTTGTTCTATATAAAAATACGTCAAGACTCTTCTGACAACCCAATATTTGCAGGATTTTTAGGAAACTCTATATTTTTTCTACAAAGGTTGAACTAATTTACATTCCTGCCAAGAGTGTAAGAGGGTCTCCTTTTTCACCACAGCCTCTCCAGTACTTGTGCTGTTTATCTTTTATCTTTTTTTATTATAGCCATTCTAACTGGAGTTAAATGATATCTCTCATTGTGGTTTTAATTTGAATTTCCTTTGTGATAAAAGATTTTGAACATTTTTCATATGCCTTTTAGCCATTCATAAGTCTTCCTCGGAGGGTTTTCTGTTCAATTTCCTGTTCCACTTTTTTAAATTGGATTACTCCTTTTTTTTTTTAATGGGTAAGCTGCCTGAGTTCCCTATATATTCTGGTTATCAGCCCGTTGACTGAGAAACAAGTGGCAAATATTTTCTCCCATTCTGAAAGTTGTCTTCTCACTCTAATTATTGCTTCCTTTGTTGTGAGGAAGCTTTTTAGTTTGAATCCATGTTTTAGCAATTATGAATAATGCTGCAATAAACACTGCCTATGCATAATAATCCCACTTGCCTATTTTGGGTATTATTGCCTGTGCTGTAGAGGGTCTTATGATTTTTGATTACATTTTAATCCAGAAATACATAATGTCTTTCCATTTTTTGTTATCATACTCAATATCTTTTTTCAGCTTTTCATAGTTTTCCTATAGATGTCTTTCATTTCTTTGGTTTACTCCTAGGTATCTTACTGATTTTTGTAGCTGCTGTAAATAGAATTGCTTTCTTTAATTCTGTCTGATCTGTTCACTGTTGGTGTATAAAAATGCAATAATTTTTGTATATTGATTTTGTATCCTGCTACTTTACTGAAATCATTTATTACTTCTAGGAGCTTTTTCACAGATTTCTTTGAATTTTCTATGTATAAAATCATATTATCTGCAAATAAGAACAGTTTAGCTTCTTTTTTTTTCCTATCTGAATGCATTTTATTTTGTCCACCTGTCTGATTGCATAGGGTAGGACTTAAAACAACAACATGAATTCTGCTAAAATTGAAGCAAAAACAAACATCAGCTTTATGGTGAAGTTTGGGTGGAAAAGGGGTAAAATCATTAATGATTTATATCAGGTTTACAGGGACAGTGCCCTAAGGAAGTCAGCAGTTCACAAATATATAACTCATTTTAAGAAGGATTGAGATAATATTGAAGATGACACTCTCCATGGTAGATGACACTCTCAGGACTCTAGTAAATTTGAAAGGAAAAAAAATTAAACTTGCTATAATTAAAGAGGATCAACAATTAACAACAGAAATAAGAGCCAATACCACAGACATCTCCATTAAGTCAGCTTACACAATACTGACTGAAAAATTAAACAAACATTCTACTTGATTGGTACCAAAACTATTAAACACATATCAGCATAGACAACAGAAATTTTAGACAAGTAGAATCAAGATCTTGAAGCATTTCTTTGAAGAACTGTCACAGGACATGACATCTGCCTTTACCAGTATGATCCTCAAGACAAAACACAAAAGCAATGGCCACCCAAAAGTAGAAGTGGTCCAGTCAAAGCAAAAGCATGACAAAGATCATGGGGCTGGCAGGAAGTATTGTAGTTGGAGCCATGAACTCCCACATGGCCCACCACAGTTCAAGTCCCAGACCTGGCAGCTTGCTTTGTTATTTTCCCCCTCTCTCTCTGTCTCTGGTATGTGCACGTGCCCTATAGTGTAAATTAAAATAATAATAATAATAATAAATAAAATAATTATTTAAAACAAAATAAAAGAATAAAGATCACAGCAACAGTTTTTGGAATGCTCAAGACATTTGTTTTTTGACTTTCTGGAGCATCAAAGAACAATAAAATCTACTGAGGCCAGTCTGTGATGTGAGGGGTAAGGCAGCTGGTTCCCAAACAGGTGACTTCACAGTTCAAGTCCCGGACCCAGTAGCTTGAGAAATACTCTGGGTTTGTGTACATGTGGGCCCAAAATCCCAACAGGAAAGAGAAATGAAAAGGATTTTGTTGCAAGACTGTTCTCCATGAGGAGTACTTTCTCACTTTCTCTTTCCCTGTCTCTCTCCAGCAAGCACACACATCCTCTGGCAAACGGAAAATGAATAAGTAACATCTGCTTATTATGAGAGTCTTTTTAGAAGTAAGCTGAAGCTTTCATAGAAAAATTCCTGCAAAGGATTCATCAGAGTCCTCCACCACAGCAATGCTTCTGCTTATTCCTTTCAACGAGCAAAGATAATTTCGTGAGAATTTCAATGAGAAATCATCAGGTATCTACCTTACATCCTGACTTGGCTCTATGTGACTTCTTTTTGTTTCCTAATCTTAAAAAATCTTTTAAAGAGGGCCACCCATAGACTGGTATAGAAAAGAGCTGGATCCTAACATGATTGACTGTATGATATGAGTCCTAAGCCCAATAGCTTGCAAAACACACCACACACATGGGCATTTATGTGCCCAAAATCCCAACAGAATAAAGAAACTGAAAAGAAGGAATTGCAACATGGCCATATACCACAAGGAGGTAATTGCTCCCCCTGTCTTTCTACCTCTTTCTACTCTCTGGCAAATGTATGCACCTTCTGGTAATAAAAAAAAAAAAAATTCTAACATTAATGGGTACCCCTTCTCTTCAGTTAGTAATGTTTAAGAATCTGCACTGACATGCACAAATTTTCAGGACTCTAAGTTCTTTAGGGATGGATTATATGTCTAGTTTCATAACTTACAAAAATGTCTCAAACTTGATGGAGCTTGTGTTAAAAAATAAAGTTTGTATTTTTAATTTTTATCTTTTAATTCTATCTTTCTTTGAGCTTTCTGAAGTCCCCGCATATAATGTGAGAGTTCTCCAGTTTCTCATAGCTATATGATGGTTAAATAATATTACTGTGTTTGCTACAAGGGGCCTCCATTCTTCTTATATAACTACTAAAAAGCAGTGCTAGAAAACAAAACATTCCCTTAATCAATGCTGCTTTCTCCAAACAACACTGCCCAGAATATTGGTTCCATAGGACATTAAAAGACGTGATTTAAAAAAAAAAGATTTAGAGATTAAACAAATTCAGCAAATACTGAAGAGGTAGCTCCTTCGAATACGATAAGACATAAGATTTTACTTTTTTTTTTTTTTTGAGAGGGTTTTGCTATAGGGCGCATGTGCTCGCCAGACAGACAGAGAGAAACAGAGAGATAGAAAGTGAAAAATCACCCCCCAGGGGGGATGGTCACGCCACAATCCCTTCTCCTCCATTCTCCTCTCAGGATCTTCAGCACGCATGCACACGCGCCCTGCGTGAGTTTAAGCCACCGGTTCCGGGACTCAAACTGCGGTCGACTACATGGGAGTCCAATGACATAGCCATTACGCTAACTGCTGGTCCCAAGATTTTACATTTTTAGTAAGCACTCTAAGATTTCTTTTCTTTTGAGAGGTTTTTGCTACAGGGTGCGTCGCTCGCCAGAGACAGAGAGAGACATAGAGACAGAAAGCGAGAAATCACCCCCCAGGGGGGATGGTCACGCCACAATCCCTTCTCCTCCATTCTCCTCTCGGGATCTTGGGCATGCATGCACACGCACCCGGCGTGAGTTTTAAGTCACTGGGTCCGGGACGTGAACCGTGGTCGACTACGTGGGAGTCCAGCAACATAGCCATTACGCTAACTGCTGGTTCCCTCTTAAGATTTTTTTTTAGGAGATATTTTTACTATAGGGCACATGTACTCACTGGAGAGAGACAAAGAGACAGAAAGTGCAACATTATCTCCCCCAGAAGGAATGGCCACATCAAAATCCCTTCTCTTCCATTCCTGACTTGGGATTTGGGGCTCACATGTAGTCTTTTCAGCTGCCAGGTCTGGGACTCAAACTGCAGTGAATTACGTGGGAGGCCAGCAATGTAACCATTATGCCATCTACTGCTCCCAGCACTCTAAGATATTTCAATACAGGTAGTCCACACATAGAGTACACATGTCTCAGTTCATGCCAGCAGTTCTAGCATCCTTTTCAATAAGCGCCTCTCCCTGTCAAAAGAGGGCAACTCTGGATTATAAATTTAGTAGAAATCCTACTAACAGACCAAACTAGGAGAAATAGGCTTTAAAGCCTTCTTTCAACAGGCCTATTTTTCTTCAAGTACTTTTGTTCTCCTCTTAATACGTACTCCAATTATCTTCCCAACCCAAACAAAAAACTGGGTAGTAATAAAATACAACCCTCCTAATGTATTTTTTCCCTTTTATTTACTTCAAATATACTCTCAAAAATAATTTATGTTGAAAGAGTGCCATATTCCATAGTACATGCCTATTTGGGAATTTATGATATACCCACATTTTAAACCCAAACTGTCACCTGGAATTTTAACAATTATGAAAAAATAGGGATAAATATCTCCCACAATTTGTCAAGAAAACTGAAGGCCTTGCTATTAATTCGCTTTAGAAACAAGACTGCTGTTTTAAACCAAAGGCCCATGATTTACTCAAGATTTTTTGAGTTAAAACATAATTTGAGGCTGTCCTGTGGCCAGGCAGTTAAGGAGGCTAGATCCCAGATGGCCAACTACACAATTTGAATCCTAGCCCAGAGCTGGAAAAACACGCCAGGTGCATGTGCATACATGTCCAAAATCCCAAAAGGATGAAGGAATAGAGACAAAATTGTGAAGTGACTACAGCCCATTGAGGGATGTGGGTGTGCCCCACATCACTCGCTCATGTGCGGGCGCACACGCTCTCTCTCACTCTCACTCTCCCTCTCCCTCCCACCATCCCTCTCCCCCCACCCCCTCTGCCTCTCTCTGGCAAGTGCACCTGCCCTCTGGCAAATTAAAAACCAAAACAAAAAAATTTAATTTGTAACAGCAAAATTCTGGAATTGACATAAACTTCCATCAGTGAACAAAGCTTAAATAAAGTATATGTATGTTTCTATGTGGCGTCAGCAACTGCCAACCTAATACTCATTGTCCCTTACTACCTAAATCCCTATAAGTAAGAAATATGCTCAGTTACAAAATTACATTTTGATCCTCCCCTGTGGGCATAATTGACTATGTCATGTATGTGTAAAATTACATACATATACATGTGTATAAATACATTCAGGTACAGAGATAAAAATACATTTGGAAATTATTATGCAGTATTATATACAGTAGTCCCCACTTATGCATATTTTCACTTTCTGCTGTTTCAGTTACTACTGGCCAACTGTGGTCCAAAAATAGGTAAGTTACATATTTTGAGAGACAGACCACACACATAACTTTTATTGTAGTGTATTATCATAACTGTTGTATTATTATTGTTTATTTCTTACTATGCCTAAATTATAAATGAAACTTTAATCATAGGTACGTATATAAAGAAAAAGTATATAGTATATATAGGGTTTGGTTCTATCTACAGTTTCAGGTACCTACTAGCAGGTCTTAGAATGTTTCCCCTGCCAGTAACAGAACACTGTATGTACATACTATTACATAATATACTTATTACTTAAATAATCTGAGAAAAGAGTCTGAAGGGAAAGAAACCAAAGGTCTGACCACAACCTATCTACCAGGAAACAATCTCTCAACAGCTACGGCAGCTACAATCTACTGAGAACATACCATCTGCCACACTTCAAGTGCTTTATACATATGTTAATTACTCCTCACAACACTGTAATATTTCCATTTCATAGATGAATAAAAAGAGGCTCAGGCAAGTAATGTGTCCAGTCACAAAACAAATTCATAGAGCCAAAATTTTAATCAAGATTAACTTGATTAAAGCTTTAAAGCTAAACAAAAAAATGTAATAGCTTCAATGCCAACAATTATTTTTGCTAGAATTAATGTTTAAACATCAAATTGAGAAGTTCTGAATTATACAAATATTTAGTAGATTCTATGATTCACAGGTGTACCAAAACTCATTGCTAGGGATATTAAGTACTTATGTGATGCGAAGGAATTTGGAAGTTAGTGCTCCTTTACTACTGGACTTGACACATTTTCTATTTGCTGACTTTACTTTGTAATAAATCAAACCCATGAGAATAACTATGTGTAGAGTCTTATGAGTGCTTCTAGTGAAATCATCAAACATGGGGATGGTGTCTTGAGGACTCCCGACACACAGCCACGGAAAACAAAACTCACTTTAATTATTCCTTAAATGTTTTTAAAGATCCTTACCTCTTCTTTTTTTATATCTTTTTCTTGGTGCTGAAAAAATTCTACCTTCAGGCTTCCTGATGATGGCTGCTCTGGAGGAGGTAGATAACTCTTAGTATTCACAGCATCGAAAAGTTTTTCCACAAATATCTGTGTCTCTAAATATAAAAGAAAAATTATAAATTATAAGATGTTTGCTAAGGTATTAATTCTCCACTTCTACTAACATTAGATGCTTAATACAATAAAATACACCTTCACTTTTAAAAATCTAGAAATTATACCAAGATCAAGAGCTTCCCAACCAGTGTCTGGTACATGTGGGGAATAATTCTGATTCACTCATCTTTCTGAATGGTGGGGATTAGAATGGCCAGAACTGCTGGGTCACTTAAAGCCATCTCTAGTTGTCTCCATGTAGCCCATCCAGTATGGGAAACAAAATACTATCATTATCTAAATGTGGTCAAAGTACAAACAGCTAAAAAGCAATGTGCTAAACAAGATTCAAAGTAGTTTCCTAAGCAGTAATAACTTTAAGTTAAACAGGCATACAGTCATATTCTTAATCATTAAACCTAGCTAAAAAAATAAAAATTTAGGGGACGGCAGGTAAAGTGCTAGTTGGGCACTGGACTCCCACATGGCCAACCATGGTTCAAATCTGAGACCTGGTGGCTTGCTTTCTCTCTTTCTCTCTCAGGTCAAATTAAAAATAATACTGAATAAAATTAAATAAATTTTAAATTAGAAAATTAAATATATTCTCTAAAAATTTCTTTTTAAGGGAACCAGCAGTTAGCGTAATGGCTATGTCGCTGGACTCCCACGTAGTCGACCACGGTTCGTGTCCCGGACCCGGTGGCTTAAAACTCACGCCGGGCGCGTGTGCGTGCGTGCCCAAGATCCCGAGAGGAGAATGGAGGAGAAGGGATTGCGGTTTGACCATCCCCCCTGGGGGGTGATTTCTCGCTTTCTGTCTCTATGTCTCTCTCTGTCTGTCTGGCAAGTGCTTCCAAAAAAAAAAAAAAAAAAAAAAAAAAAAACTCCAGTATGATTTAAGAATGAGCATAACACATAACAGGGCCGGCAGGTACGTGGTGGTTAAAAGTACTGAACTCCCACATGGGCAACTGCAGTTCAAGTCCCGGACCTGGTGGCTTGCTTTCTCACTTTCCCTCTCTATTTCTCTGTCTCTCTCTGATCAAACTGGAAAATGATAATAAATAAAGCTAAATTAAAAATCAATTCTTGGGAACCAGCAGTTAGCGTAATGGCTATGTCCCTGGACTCCCATGTAGTCGACCACGGTTCACATCCCGGACCCGGTGGCCTAAAACTCACGCCGGGCGCGTGTGCGTGCGTGCCCAAGATCCCGAGAGGAGAATGGAGGAGAAGGGATTGCAGCGTGGCCATCCCCTCTGGGGGGTGATTTCTCGCTTTCTGTCTCTCTGTCTCTCTCTGTCTGTCTGGCAAGTGCACATGCCCTATAGTGAAAAATCTCTCAAAAATATATATATATATTATATGATTAATCTTATTTTGAATAACTTACTAAAACAAAGTAATATTTTTAAAAAGATCTTACCTTTCTGAAGAAATACATCCAGCTGATCAATGCATAATGCCTTTAACTCTTTTTCACTTTTGTCTTTCTTTACCAAAGCCAAAACATATTTTGCTAGGGCTGATGGATCTGCATCACATCTTAAAAAAAAAAAAATTGAAGGCAGTTTAGCCATAAAACAACTGTACATTCTACAAATTCTAGCAACAGATTTAATAGGTATGAGAAATAAATATATGTAGAAATCATCTAGCATAATAGAAGGCACTGAAGAAATATAAGCTCTTCTCATATTAATATAGCTCACGTGCAATATGGAGCCATCATTTCTATAAAATATACTATACAGTTTATTAAACAGCAGAAAAGAAACTCTAGAAATGGTCCAAGCATATTTTTATGACAATAGCACCAAAGTCAACAAAAAAATACATGGCCACACAATAAATGGTACTCAGGCAATAAAATTTTATAAAAACTAACTTGTACTGATCATCTATTCTATACACCACAAAAAATATAAAAGCATATAAAACCATTAAAGGATCAGGACTGGCCCTGTAACCTAATGGTTAAGGGAGCCAGATCCCACATGGCCAATGGTGGTTCAAATCCTGGCCCGTGTGTTGAAAAACATGCTGGGTACACATGCCCAAACTTTAGATAGGATGGAAAAACAGACCAAAAAAGGACTGTGGTGTGACCACACTCCATGGGAGGTGTTTTCTATCTTTCTCCCTTATACTTTCTCCCTGAGCACACAAGTCCTCCAACGACTTTTTTTTAAAAACATTCAAATAGTTTAATTCATCACAAAAAGGCAAATTACCCAGAGCCTCTATCAATTAAGACCAACAACAGAGAGAAAAAGACAACAAAAGATAGGAATAGATACAAAACAGAAAAAGAAATAAGTGTGACTCTTAACTATGATTAATTCATGGTCAGTCCATGGCCTGTCAGTTTAAGCGGCTGATTCCAACATGGCCAACTGAATGGTTCAAATTCCAGACCCAGGGACTCGAGAAACATGCTGGACACATGTGCAGATGTGCCCAAATACCAAAAAAAGGGGAGAGAGAAGAGAGTTTAGTGTGGCCATGCCCCATGGAGCATGTTATGTCATTATCACCATCACCCCATCTCTGGCAAATGTATGGGCCCTCTGAAATCAATCAATCAATCAATCAATCAATAGATGGATTCAGCCTAATCCACAAGAGAAATGCAAACTTAACCTACGCTGAAATATAATGATAAAACCAAAAATATGAATATTCTGTTGGAAAACTAAGGGAATTAGCAATTTTCAAACACTGAGATGGTGCAAGTAAATTTAGCCCCTAAGGACAATATTTTGGTGTAGCGCAGTCACAAATGCAATCTGATTCAGCAATTCTACCTCTACAAATTTATTCTAAATATGCTTACATGCTCGAAATAATGTGTACAAGTTATTCATTTTCATATAGATAAATCAAAATGTGCAAATAAAGTCCTCCTTTACAGAGCACTGACAAAGCATATTAAGTCCATATAAGGAAATAGTGTGCAGCAAAAGGATATCAAAAAAAGGCAGATGAAATTTTTGAACATTATAAAATTTTCATTATCAATTCATTAAATTTAAAAAGCAAGGTAGAGAGGCCAGCAGGTGGCATGATAGTTAAGGTGCTGGGACATTACCCCAACAAGGCAGACCACAGTTTGAGTCCCAAACCTAGTGGCTTGAAAATCACACCAAGCATGTGTGTGTGAGTGTGTGTGTGTGTGTATGTGTGTGTGTGTATGTGTATGTGTCCAAAATCCCAAGAGAATGAAGGAGAAGGTGTTGCAGCATGATCATCCCTCCAGGGGGGTGACTTCTCAGTTTCCCTCTCCCTCTCTGTTCCTCTTGTGAATGCATAAACCCTCTGGAAATTAAAAAATAAATAAAAATCTTGGGATCAGCAGATGGCACATTGGTTATGTCATTAAACTCCCACGTTGTCAACTGTGATTAGAGTCCTGGACCTGCAGACTTAAAACTTATGTCAGGTACATGTGTGTATGTGCCCAAGAGCACTAGAGGAGAATGGAGGAAAAGGGACTAGGGTGTGGCTATCCCTGGCGGGGGAGAGAGGGTGATTTCTCTGTCTCTCTCTGTTGAGCACACCTGTCCTATAGTAAAAATCTCTAAATAAATAAATAAATTTGTAAAGATCTGAAGGAAGATTTTTATAATTATTGTACTCTCTAAGTTACAGTTTTATAAAAAAAGATTGAATTCCTAAACAAATGCTGTTCAGCTTCTGTAGGATGCAGTTTACACCGAATCAAAGTCACTAATGGCCAAAATAACCATAATAAATAAACCATTATATACAGAAATTCTAAAAGCCTGAAATACTCTAAAAGATTACTTTTTAAAATTTGTTACAAGTTAAAATTATACAATAAAATAAAATCTTATTATTTCACATATAGTAGCAACACAACAATTTACATTCAGGATGCAATTTTCTTTAATCTATTAAGTATTTGTTCCATTTTTAATTTCAGTATTTTTGAAAACAAAGAAAAGGATTTACAAATTACAAATAAGTAATCTGAGTAAAAAATGGTATGAACCACAGGAATTTAACAATGTACCAAAATGTTCTGGATCAGGAGAAAAGCAAAATCTGTATTCTCTTTTCTATTTGTCTTAATTAAGTGTCAAAGTTTAGGGCTAGCAGGTAGCATGGTGGTTAAGGTGCTGGACTCCCACATAGCCGACCATGGTTTGAGTCCAGGACCTGGCAGGTTGCTTCACACCTTCTCTCTCTCTTTCTGTGTGTGTGTCTCTAACATATGACCTATAGCAAATTTTTAAAATAATAATGAATTAAATTAAATAACTATTTTTAAAAAGTGCCAAAGTTACATCATCTAACCCCTACCAATGATAACCTCCTATGCAAAAATAATTACATTCAGATAATGAGAAGTTATTTTTAAAAACTGTCTCCATGGCAAACAAGATTCTTCATGAGGTACTCCACTATACCCGTTGCCATTGCTAAACATAGGTCTGTGATTCTGGAATGACAAATTTCTCATCAGAGTTTAACTATACCCTCTGCTACATGGTTAACATCCTGGGAAATGCGTGAGAGAAGTGGGACTGGTATCTTACAGATCAGGAAGGCGTAAAAAAAAAAAATTAAGTTTTGAAGATGTTTAAAGATTAACAAATAATACTGAAACTGGCAGACTTCATACTTAGAAACCAAAGTCTCCCTGATTTTATGTTCCATAAATACTTCTTAGCACCTCAGAAACCAAATTCTTTCAATAAAGTATGATTCTGATACAACATGCACCACCTCCAGTTGCTCCTCTGTTTACAGGGAGCAGGGGAGAAGCCAAGGAAAAACAAAGAAAACGAAACTACCAAAATAAGGAAAGCATGAGACATGACTTACCAATAATGTTTGTAAAGAGAAAGGCAGAAGGAGAGTAACTTGCGTGTTAATTACAATAAGTTAAATCAAATGAAAATGTGAAATGGCTGGAAGGAAATGTAAATCATTAAAAATGCAATTAAAAAAAGGACATCGAGAACTACAGAAGAAACAGTGCTGCTCTCCTATATAGCAGAGTAAGAAGTGCTTTTAATTCCAGGTACCATCTTTTACAAGTACATAAATAAACTCATTTTAAGAGGGATATAAAGTTAGGCAGGGATCCAAGTAGAGTGTAAGCATGCTTTGTGGTTATCTAGAGAAAGAAGAGCTGAGGCCAAGGGAGGCCAACAGAGGCCTGGGGTAACAAGTCTACTTGAGACAAGAGTCCAGTGAAATGGAGCAAAGTGAATATTCAAGAATATCTGGGGAACCAGCAGATGGCATAATGGTTACACCGCTGGACTCCCAAATCATAGACTATCACAGACCCCCACGTAGTAGACTACAGTTCATACCTGGACCTAGCAGCTTAAAACTCATACTGGGAGCACGTGTGTGCATGCCCAAAATCTGGAGAGAGGAATTGAGGATAAGGAAGGGATTATAGTGTGGTGGTGGTGGTGGAGGGTGATTTCTCACTTTCTGTCTCTCTCTCTCTAACTGGTAAGTGCATGTGCTCTATAGCAAATATCTCTCTTAAAAAAAAAAAAAAAAAAAAAAAGAATATTTGGATTTATAATCTCTCCCTCTCCAAGGATTTTAAATGAACTGTTTCAATAAACTTTGGGCACATTACAAAGAAATCATTCAAACCAGTAATTTAAAAGACACAAAACTATCAATCTCTGAATAAACTGTGATAAGGACATTACAAATAAGAAAACATTTCTATTTTTAGAAATTGTTCAGGGGGCCAGCAGGTGGTGTGGTGGTTAAGGGCACTGGACTCCCACATGGGCGACTGCAGTTTTGAGTCTTGGCTTGCTTCCTCACTCTCCCCCCCACCCCCTCTCTCTGTCCCTTTGTGGTCAAATTAAAATAAATAAATTAAATTAAGTTATTTAAGAAATAAGAATTGTTCAGTTGAAAATTTCAGCTTTGTGCATACCCTTTTAGAGTACAGGAGTCAGGGCCAGCAGGTGGCATGCTGGTTAAGGTACTGGACACTACCAAATGGATGACTGCAGTTTGAGTCCCCTGTGTGTGTGTGTGTGTGTGTGTGTGTGTGTGTGTGTGTGTGTGTGTTGCTGGTCAGACTAAAAATAATTGGCCGATCATGATTCAAGTCCCGGACCTGGCGGCTTGCTTTCTCACTTTATCTCTCTCTCTCTAATTAAATTAAAATGAATGAATGAATAAATAAAATTAAATAAATAATTTTTAAAAATTAAATATTCTTTAAAAAAATAATTGAATGAATAAATAAAATTAAAAACATAATTCTTTAAAAAAAGACAAAGTACAGTGCTGATCATTTCTTTAAACTATATCTGGGGAGGGAAGTATGTACAAATCAAATGTTACCATAAAATATCCCAGAACTAATTTTTTTATGCAATAGTTTAAATACTATGAATCAAATCACTCCTAGAATTAAAGTTTGTAATTAATCCTCCTAACGCACTAGTGATTAGTGTGGTTTAGTTTTTAATTTAGGATTTTCAAAATAGTAATAAAACAGTAAAGAAAGCTATTAACACTCCAGGGCAATA